TGGAGCTGCCAGGCAAGAGGTCCAGAGGAAGGCCAAAGAGGAGATATATGGATGTGCTAAAAGAGGACATGAATTTAATTAGGGTAAGAGTAGAGGATGCCGAGGATAGAGTTAGGTGGAAACAGATGATTCGCTGTGGCGACCCCTAATGGAAACAGCCGAAAGCAAAGAAGAAGAAGATACTATCTCCACATCACCATGTGCAAATCCATTGCTTGACAGCATTCAATTCAGTGGAGCCAATCCCTGTTGATCTTCAAGCAAATCATCAGTTACAGTGCTACAGGGGAACACAGCTGCGGATCAGTTATCACATTCACAGTGTCAATACCTGCTTTGTGCAGCATCAAAGTGCTCTGTAAACATTTTGCATCCTCATGCATATATTGTGCTTTCTTATAACAATGTTGGTTTGTCCTGATGGATAGATTCAACATACAACAGAGGGACAGAAAACATTGCAAGCTCATGCACAAAATTAATACTTTCCAGTAGAAAAAGACAATTTGTTTGACTTTAAATCACTTTACTCTTGACTTTAATCTCTATCCAAATAGTTTATTTTTTTGTTTTATAACAGTTCATTCCTTTTATTTTCATTTGATCCATTCTGCCTGTCTTTTTCTAATCAACAGGTAAAGAAAATAGACAGAGAAAATGTTAGTCTAGCTAACACATGCAAATTAAGTAATTAACCCAGAGGAGATGACCAGTTTTTAAAATAGTTTTCATTAAGGTGGAGTGTCAGCTGGTAATTATGTAAAAGGATTTTCACATTTGTGTGTTTTATCCTTGGGCTAATGTCAACCTTTGGAATACACAGCAGTCATATATTGTAATACCTGAAATAGCAAAATTTCACACTGTGAAATCTATGCTCTGAATTTTCAAAGCAGTCAGAAAATAAAATACTTCAGGTAGCTTAACTTCGCCAATTCAGGGGTATAACACCATCCGATCGCAATAATGTCATTTTCGGATTCCTGACAATTTTCTCTACCACTTTCATATATTATGTGTGTGAGAGCTTTAAGGATGGCAGAATAGGAGCAGAAACATGGCAGGAATCTATGAGAAACACACACAGAGGAAAGCGGAGCGGAGGTCACGTGACCATACAGCGGGGGTAATTGGAAAAGAATGGAACCATTGACTTTGAATGGAGAAGTAGACAAAATATAAATATGGATTAAAAATAAACCGTAAGAGATATCAAGAAGATATTTACATCAATGCCTGATTATGTCACGAGTTGAATACAGTTAAAATGGCGTTTCTAGCCCACGGTATCCCTGAGATGTTGAGGTTCAACTTCCCATGAGTTGAATACAGTTGACAAGCAGCTTTTGACAGCGTCTGCAGAGACAAGCAGGTAGCGACAACCGACGTGCATTTCTGCATTCAGTTTCAAACAAACAGAGCACCCTGTTGTGTTAGTACACTGTTGTATGATGTCATGATATTAAACACATTGAAGGAACCGCGGCATTTTATAATTACAAAGACGTTTTCCTTCCAGCACGTATTATTTGACCATCTATTATATGTGTATAATGCTTAAGAATGGGCATAATGGCAGCACAAAAGCGGCAAGAGGAAGAGCAAAAGCTCCGAGTAAATATTTGCAAAAAAACAAAGTTTATCAGTTTGAACATTAAATATCTTGTCTTTGTGATGTATTTAATTAAATATAGGTCATAAAGGACTTGCAAGTCTTTGTATTGTTTTTATTTACGTTTTACACAATGTCCCAACTTCGTTGGAATTGGGGTTTGTAATAAACTGAGTTGGGTGGCTTTAAAAAAAAAAATCACATTTACATTGTTAATTTGATGGGGCTTTTTTTTTACAAAGTAGCTTGAACTACCTTTTTTAAGTAGCTTTATTTAACTAAACTAGGTTTCTCCCTAGAGTAGATTTGCTGTAGTTCTGGTTCTCCCAGTATGAAGTAATTGGTAGCTTGGAAAGCTAGCTTCCCAAGCACTTTGTATATTAAAAAAAACACACACAATTGAATCTAATGACAGACTGACTATATGATTCAGGATTTCCAGAGAAGTATTACCTACTTTAGTCTGATACAAATGATAATGCAATGTGTGAAAAGCCAAAGTGTCATCACAGTCAATGGCTTCAGTCCCAGTCCTTCAGTCTTGCAGGATCTTATTCCACTCATCATTTGGGGCTTCAGGTCACTTACTTACCATGTTTTGATACTGGGAGATGAAGGAAGTGCATCCTCAGTAATAATACTGGGCATGATAACTGAGAATAGCCACTGAATGGAGTGACAACACTAGAATCAGCTGCTTAGCCTTATGGAGGCCCTAGGTGAGATGTTGCTATGGGGACCAACCTATAAGATAATTTCAACTTTGACTACACTGTCAATAGTTTTGGTCTTAATTAGTCAATAACAGTAGTAACGTACTGATCAAGTCATTTCTGAGATCTGGGAACACAATAACATCTCTATAGGTACAAAGTCAGTCAGGCGAGGAATCAGCATCTTTTAATCATTTAAACACACTCTTTGCTTAGCTGATCAATGACAACACAGGGTCTGCAGTAAAAATGTACATCTTTCTACTCTCTGCGGTACATGATCCACCCTCTTCTAGGCTGTAATATTCATAATCAAAGTTCAAAGGAGAGACTAAGACAGAGGGTCCTCAATGGAAACCAAACAAACATTACTAGAAAAGAATGCAGTGCAGCTGTCTCTACAGATCTGGGTGGTGCTTAAATGCTAACCAAGGAGTTTAAAGTTAACAGTTGACCTTGCAACTGCAATTATCAAGCTTTTGCTTATGAAGCAGCCATATAGAGAGTCCAACTGGGTGAACCAGAACACTACAAATATTGGTAGAAGTGTGGCAATGTCTTTCCAAAATAAGAGAATATCCCCAGTTTACAGAGACAAACAGGGTTTTAACATGTCAATTTCATCTTCACTGGCAATATTACACCACAGGACTCTTAAGTGTCTGGTCTATGCTACCTACTAGTGGATAAAATGGAAAAACATCTGGAAAGCAGTCAAAGTATTTTTTCACATAGAATAAATCGGTGTCTTTGTATAAAGAAAAGCAAAATCAGACACATTATGAGCCAATCATATACATACACACACACAAACACACCGATCAGGCATAACATTATGACACGCACACACACACACAGATCAGGCATAACATTATGACCGCCTGTACATTTGTATGCACTTCAGTGCTGTGCTTCTGCCTTAACATTTGTATTTATGAAGCTCAAAATGTTTCAGTGTTTGGTGAGATTGTCATAAATGTATAAATTCAAGTATATGTTCATTAATTAGGTCACAATTAAAGGTGGTGTTGTACTGGACTACATTATATAAAGGTGTTCCTAATATTCTGACCCTCTCATGTATGTCAAAGGGCAGGAAAAAAATAGAGACACCTCTGAATATAATGTAGTCCAGTACAACACCACCTTTAACTATTCCCTCAATAATGAACATATACATCTATGAGAATGTTAAACACTGACATATTTTGAGCTTCATAAACAAATATTAAGGCAGAAGTGTTGCACTGACGTGCATACAGATGTACAGGTGGTCATAATGTTATGTCAAACATAAATACCAAAAAAGATTAAAAATAACTGAAAGATAATCCAATCCCACAGTCTGTCCTGGTTTGATTCCTCTGGGTTTACAAGTCCAAGAGGAACAATCCTGAGTAAGAGCTGGGGGGCATAGTGCCATAAAAGCTGTTTAAAGACAGCACTGCATCTAAAAGATCGTTCACAGGCTCAGAGGGACTTGTGGTGCAGCATTGGAGATGTGTCGGTGATGAGCTGAGGATGGCTACTGTACAGCAAAATATGTCATAAGAAGATGTGTCAAAGCTGAATCAACCTTGACCCCTGACATTTGCTTAATTTAAATAAATCCTGGAAAGAGGTACTGTAGGAGGAGGATGACTCCCACAACCATGAGGCCACAGAAGAACAGCACCAGCCAGATGGGAAAGGATCCTGGAGAAGATGCAAAACAGAGGAACAAACGATAAGGTGAGAAGGTCTGAGGTTATGATCCATTGTCTTACTGTGCCCACTGGAAAATGATGCAGGACTTACTTCGGTTGGGGACGGCATGTACTTGACAGCGGCTGTCCACAGCAACACTTAACAGGGCTGTTTCATTATTCCCTTTGATATTTTTGCTTTTCAATGAGTCAGGCAGGAAGGCCAAGTCTGTCACAACAATACCATGGGACTCCTGTACATAATACAGCTTCTACACAAAAAGGGCAAGATCAAGTTACCACCATACTGCAGGGCTGTATGGTTGATTTATGCACCTATTTGAGATGTGTATCTACACTCTTGTTACCTGTAGGGAGAAAGCAATGTAGATAGCTACTGATCCTGTTACAGTTCCAAGGCCAAGAAATGTTCCAGAGTCACTGTGAAGACAAGTTAACATCTTTTGTGAGGAATAAACAGGATTCCCATAAAAAGTCATATTAACCTTTCCAAACAAAATGAGCTATGCTCAATATCCTTAAGAAAACAATCTACAGTACTGTTCAAAGGTCTTAGGTCACCATTAGTTTTGGTGCTTTAACAGGGTTGTAATGATAATATATATATTTTATTCTCAGTCTCTTCATTAAGATATAACCAGAAAATACATACACAATATAAAAAACTTTTTCAGAACAAAATGGCTTCTACAGTCCAGGGTCAGTATTTAGTGTGACCTCCCTTTGCAGTTAAAACAGACTGAATTCTTCTGGGGAGATGGCCTTGAAGTCATGAAACTATGCATGCAAACCACCATGTTTGACTAAAGGCTGAAAGCACTCATTCTTACACCTCTCTCAAACACTTGTCACATACTGGCGATGATTGGACCTGAAAATGTCAAACTTAGTGGAAAAGAGTCTAATGGAGTAGTGAATCTATCTTCACTCTAGTCTTTGAGAGCGTTTGCATATCTCGGCCTTTTCTCCCTGTTCCCTTCTGAAAAAGTGATTTCTTGGTTTCTGTCCTTCCACAAATGCTGTTCCTGATCAAGCGTCTTCAGACTGTAGAAGGATCGGCTGGGCATCCAGATAAAGCTGCCAAATGCTAAGCCAGGTCCTTGCTGGATTTCCTCAAAGAATACTGGTCTCCTGGTATCTCCTCCATGCTCCCGAGACTGTGCTGGGTGCACAGATGCACCAAACCTTTTTGCGACTGCACATATGGATGCGCCATCTTAGAGTAACCGGACTACCTGTGCAACCTGACTGGGATGCAGGTACTGCCTCATGCTATCAGTAGTAACAAGTACACTAGCAAAACAAAACTTGAGAAGAATGGGTCAGGAAGGAAGGAGAGAGCATTTCTCTGTGGCTACCACGTGCAAAACTATTCACTTTTTTGGGGGTTGTGTTACTTGCCAGCCTTATTGTTGGCTGCAGGTGGTAGCATCTTGTAATTAGCAATAAAAATTTAAAAAGTTAAGAACAAACAAATAAAACAGAGGAATATCATAGTGGAAAAACAAGTTTTGCATGATTAACTGAGGAAATGATTTGAGAAAACTCCGCAGGGGAGGCATTCCACAGTTCGCGAGCTACAATGCAAAGCAACAGCAATCAACAAACATCCAATTTTTTTTAAAGTTAATAGTTCAACGAAGACCAAAATTAATGCTACCATTATTAACATTACAGAGAACATAGACGAAAACAACACTGTTAATGCTGAAGCTGTCGTCAACATTATCATTAGCAACCAGCAGATCCGGTCACTGCAAGAGCAAGCCACAGTGGGATCTCTCAGTGGGTGTGAATCAACAGGCTGCCTCTGTCTGAGTTGAAATGACAGGGCTCACAGGAGCTGGGGATGAGGCTCTCAAGCTTTCAAATGTAAATCACGAGGGCATCTCATCATGCTGTGACTTATTTACATGCTAATAATAACTTGGTTCTAATGAGATAAATGTTGAATGAAATTGTGGATCATGCCATAATGTTAATACAAACCTAAGTTAATCTTAAACAATAATTTTAGAAAACATCCAAACATATACCATGTGAAAAACTAAACAGAAATTTGATTGTACTTTCATTTTATGTATGGCAGTAGACATTCATTCCATGCAAAATTTGTTCATCACATTTGCATGCATGTAGATGTATCCCAGGCAGCCCCTCCTACTTAAAATACATTCCCACACACAGGTGCATGGCAGAAGCGGAAGACAAAGAAATAATAATAAATAAATAAACACCTTAATTTCAATCTGACCATTCTGATAGCTGTCGCATAGTCAGACATTGTTTGTCTGCACATCCATGAAAAGATCAGACCTGATTCACTTGGAGGGAAAATAAATTGTATTTGAGTCTTTCAGCATGTTGTCTGAATATAGTCTCTGAGAACAAGCACCCTGCCTGAGCTTGGGCCATCAGACAGCCCTGACCTCTCCTACTTATCCCATTTCAAAGGTCAGTCTCTCCACATCCATGGTTAACTTATTATAATATAAACCTATCAGTTACCTGACAGCCAGACTGGAGATAACCTCTGTGCCACAGGGAGCCGTAAGCATGGGCAGGAAACTCTTGCCATCCCACTTGGTGAGGTAACAAGGGGGAGGTTTTCTATCCCTCTTATGGGGGATCTGGACAGTGTAAAGCCTGAGACCCGCTTTCTGGTCTTCTACCTTTCCGAACCTGAAACAACTATGTATAGTTACGGTCATATCCTGCAGATGGAAATGGGTAGGTGAACAACTGGAATGTTCTGTCACAGAAAACAAACCTGCAAGCCATATATCGATAAGTCTTCTCAGTCATTTGAGGCAGGGTTTCATACCATTTCAGATTCATTGCCAACTGACTGCCACTCCATACACTGCAGGCAAAGTCCCGGCCAACAGTCACCAGCTGCTGCACACAACATATTGACCATTACTAGTGAATTAATATATTCATCATTACTTAAAGCCTACATTAAATATCCACACCAAGAGGTGTCAGTGTTTCACCTTGTTCCCTGGACCCATATCCAAGTCTTCAATCTCCCCTTCATGTGCTTTGAAGTCAAACTTCTTCTTCAGGGATGGAAACTGTAAGAGTCAAGAACAAGGACTCAATGTCAAGAAAACAATGCATACATTCCCCTCCAACAGTACTGGAATGGCTACGCTAATTAATTTGTGTTTGCTGTACACTGAAGATATGAGTTTAAGATCAAAAGATCTTACGAGACCAAAGTTCAGAATTTTAGCTTTTAGTTTCCTGGTATTTGCATCTAGATGCATTAAACAGCATTGACCATAGCACATTTTCTATCAGATCACTCAAATTTTAAGTGAGCAAAAGCATTAAAACAGATAGTTTTAAGTAAATTAAATAAAATATTTAGTTGCATATTCTGTCTTTGTAATACATGCATCAAGCCTTTGATCCAATAACATCACTAAATAGCGTCTTCTTTTGACATGCTTTTACTGCAGCCTCCTTCGGTTGTTGTTTGTCTTAGGGAATTTCTCCCTTCAGTCTTCTCCTCTTCAGCAGGTATAATGCATATTCAGTTGTTTTAAGGTCTGGTGAGTAACTTGGTTAGTCAAAAACCTTCTACTTTTTCCCACTAAAGTCCTTCGTTGAGGTGACAGTGTGTCTTAGGTCATTGTCTTACTGCATGATGAAGCTCCTCCCAGTTAGTTTTAATGCATTTCTCTGTAAACTGACAGACAAAATGTTTCTGTATAGCTCTGAGTTCATTTTGCAACTACCATTATAATTTATATCATGAATAAAGATTAGTGAGCCTCTTCCAGAAACAGCCATACAAACCCAAGCCATTATACAGCAATGTGATGATCCAAAACACACTGTCAACTCAAAGTACTTAAAAGAGGTCAAGTCATTTACCAGACCTTAACCAAACACAAGTGAAATCTCTGTTTATAATTAAATATGAGTTTTAAAATATTTCCAAATCATTTCATTTTACACAGCGGTCCAACTTTTTTGAAATTGGGGTTGTAAATACCAAGAAATAAAGGCTGAAATTCTGAACTTTGTTCTCATATTTATCTTTTGATCTTAAACTCAAACATCACAGTGCACAGCAAACACAAATCAATTGGCCTCACCGTTTCCATATTTTGAGGGGACTGTATGTTTTATTACATACAATTGCTTATAAAAGTAAATAACAGAAAAAAAACCACATCAAAATGATCAAGACATGCCATCTTTGTAGAATCTGAAACAGAGTCAACTTTATTGGCCAGGTTTGATGAACACAGGAGGAATTTGACTCTGGTACATCGGCTCTCAATGTGCAAACAGTAAACCAGCATAAGGTTGGTTAACAAAATAAGCAGTATTAACAGCAACATTGATGGCAACAAACAGTGCAAACAATGCAGAGTAAGCAGTATAAACAGACAGTAAACAATGCAGACAACAAAGGAATATTCATTGAAACGAGATAAATAGGGATAAAAACAGAGTACTTAAAACTAGAGACCTGTACGAGTCTGTATAATCTGTACGATGTATATATACAGAGATATTGCACTGAGGGTTATTGTGCAATCATACTGTCGTTGGTTAAGTGTTCATCAGAGTGACAGCTCGGGGGAAGAAACTGTCCCTGTGCCTGGTTGTCTTGGTGCACAGTGACCTGTAACGCCGTCCAGAGGGGAGAAGTTCAAACAGATTGTGTCTGGGGTGTGAGGGGTCTGCAGTGATCCTCTCCGCCCTCCTTTTGACCCGTGAGGTGTACAGGTCCTCCATGGAGGGCAGGCTCACACCAATGACCTTTCTGCAGTCCTGACTGTCCGCTGAAGTCTGTACTTGTCCTGGTTGCTGAGCCAAAACAGACAGTGATGGAGGTGCAGAGAACAGACTTGATGATTCCTCTGTAGAACTGTATCAGCACCTCCTGAGCTGGCGCAGGAAGTACATTCTCTGCTGTGCCCTCTTGATGATGGTCCTGATTTTGGACGTCCACTTCAGGTCCTGGGAGATAGTGGAGCCCAGAAACTTGTAAGACTTTACTGCAGATACAGTGCTGCCAAGTATGGTAAGTGGGGGTTAGGTGGGAGGGCTCTTCCTGAAGTCCACTGTCATCTCCACTGTTTTGAGCGTGTTCAGCTCCAGGTTGTTGCGGCTACACCACAGGACCAGCTGCTCAACCTCCCGTCTGTAGGCTGACTCGTCACCATCTCGGATGAGACCAATGACCGTTGTATCATCTGCAAACTTGAGGAGCTTAACAGAGGGGTCATTCAAGATGCAGTCGGTGTAGAGTGAAAACAGCAGAGGGGAGAGCACACATCCCTGGGGGGTGCCTGTGCTTATTGTCCGGGTGCTGGACGTGGTTTTCCCCAGCCTCGCCTGCTGCTCCCTGTTTGTAAGAAAGCTAGTAATCCACTGACAGGTGGGGGCAGGCACAGTGAGCTGGGTCAGTTTGGAGTGGAGGATGTCTGGGATGATGGTGTTGAATGCTGAGCTGAAGTCCACAAAGAGGGCCTGTGCATAGGTCCCTGGGGAGTCGAGGTGTTGCAGGATGTAATGCAATGCCATGTTCACTGCATCGTCCACTGACCTGTTTGCCTGGTAGGCAAACTGCAGGGGGTCTAGCATGGGGTCTACGATGTCCTTTGGGTGGGTCAACACCAGTCTTTCAAAGGACTTCATAACTACAGATGTCAGAGCGACAGGTCAGTAGTCATTCAGTCAACTAATGAGGATTTTCTTCGGGACTGGAATGATGGTGGAGCGTTTGAAGCAGGAGGGGACTTCACACAGCTCCAGTGACCTGTTGAAGATAAGTGTGAAGATGGGGGCCAGCTGATCAGCGCACACTTTCAAGCAGGAGGGGGTTACACCATCTGGGCCTGGTGCTTTTCTGATCATTTGTCTTTTAACGAGACCATGCACATCCTTTTCACAGATTGTTAGAGGTGGGGGGCTGGCGGGAAGGGGGGCG